TATTGCACAATTTTATGAGAGAGCTTTATGGGGTGGGGGCGACCACTGAGAAAATCCTGTCTCCTGTGTTCTCACCACATATACTTGAGATGCTGGAGGGTCTGAGAGAAAGCTTTCCCTCAAGGAGCCCAAGACTCAGGCAAGCCTGTATGGGGAGTACAGGCTTCTCAGTACACCTAAGGCATATAGGGCTTTCAGTGATTGCCACCACTTTGACTTATTTGGTTTACTGTAACACCCTGCACATGGGGCTGCCTTTGAAGAATGTTTGGAAACTTCAGCTAGTCTAAAAAGCTGCAGCCAGTCATGGTTCTGGTCCAGATTATTTGAAAACCAGTAGATATAAAGGGCCATAAACATTGAGTCAAAACACCTGTAGTTGGGTAATAACCTGGGCCTTCCAAAATGGCTGGGAGCATTCTGTTGAAATCAAGGGGTACATCTAGACCCCTGGCTCCCAATGTGGGACACAGGTCCCACAGTGTGACAATTTGATTTTAAGGGGGCCAATTTGAGAATGAGGTGTATGTCACAATATATATTTGTGGACTGTATACAAAGCCTTTCTTATGGTTCTAGGGCTTTGTATACAGTCCACAAATATATATTGTGATATACACCTTTTAAAAATTAAAATCCGAATGCACACAGTGGTCAGCTGGTGCTAATGGTGCGGGGGAAAGCCCCTTCATAGAGAGGGAGGAGTAGGGAGAGCATAAAGTTAAGGAGAGGGTGCAAAAGCACAGAAAAGGGAGGCCACTTTCATTCCAAACACCCCACCCCCCTCTCTCAGGGGTCTTTTGACATTACAAGCTGCACAAAACATATAAAATGTCTTTTTGTTCTATATATGAATTTCAAAAGCAATGTGAAGTAAATATTTTTGTATGAAAAAAACAGAAAACTAATGTCAAACGACAAGATATTTTTTCAACTTCTCACCCAAGAAACACCATGAAGCTGGACACTTAAGTAACCCTGAATTCAATGCAGATGACTCAAATCCATTGTGCCTTGAATATTCCTATGCCCAAATGATAGTTAACTTTATCAAGTGCAAAGTGCTTTCCTTAGCAAAACCCGGTATTTGTCAGGTTCAAGCGCAGAAATCTCGCATTCTCCATTCCTGAGAATTTTTCCTGATCTCTTGCTGGCTACTTAAAATATTTGTGCTATATTTTAGGGGAAATAACCTTTTGAATAGATAATGAGCATAGAAAGAACCTGCAATGACACATCATTCACCATTCACAAATGACGTCGACCATAATGTCAGAAAACCCAGAAGCTGAATTTTTGGACCGACCCTCACTGCCTTATGACAAACAAATATCAAACATGCCATCGAATTGCTAACATAAAAGGTTTCCTCCATGTGAATAGGAAAGAGTTCGCTTATTGAACAATAAGACTTATTTTGGAGATGCTTTGGTGGGGAATGGCCAAAAAAAGATTGGGGACCACTGCTTTAGATTGTAGAATAAATGCAAATTGACACCTCTTCAGCTGCCATGGTTCGATGTGATGGAATCACAGGAGTTGTAGTTTTCACATGCTTTGGCCGAGAAGGCAAAAGACCATGTCAAACTGCTTCCAGGATGTCACAGCATTGAGTCAAATGACATTCACCTGCCAGTGTACAACCCTCAGGGAAGCCAGGCTCAATATGGAGTTATAGTGGTGCCATAGAGATCTGTGCAAGGTATCTATGGACAATGGGGAGATGGAGCTTGATCTCTCAGGTGCTTGATACCTTGGCAAAGCCTTGTGGGCTCACAGCTGTCACTCACCCTGATCTGCTTAGGGAGATTTGGGGCATTTATTTCTGTCCTAGCACTTACCAGCCAATCCTATTTCCATAGGCAGGTTGTGGGGGGACTTCCAGGTAGGGCAAGCAAAGGCTAACCTTTGACCATAACTATGAGCCTAACTATGAACAATGCATACTGATAGTTTTACCACAGTGTTAGTATTTGGGTCACGGTTTGCAATTTCCTCCACTGGGTTATTTTTTGTTAACTTTATTTATACCCTGCCTTTCTCTCCAAGGGGACTCAAAGAAGCCAGCAGCCACATACTTTGATCAATTTAAAACAAAGAAAATACATAAAATTAAAAAGCAATGAAACAGTATTGTGTGTGTTAGGTTAAAAATATAAGTAAACTACAATAAATACAAGTAAAATGCATTTTAAACCCCCCCCCCCCCGCAACATGCTTGTTCCCTTTCGCCAAATGCCTCCTGGCAGAAGAAGGTCTTGACCTGCAGGGATGGGGCCATCCTGGTCAGTCTCTTTTGAGAAGGAATTCCACAATCTGGGGCCCCATCCACACAGGTGAATAAAATCCCACATTTTCTGCTTTGAACTTGCTTGCATGCTGGTCGCTTCTGGTCGCTTCTATGGAGCGTGCTTGCTCCATCCATGTTCAACATCTACACAAATGACCAGCCACTGCCAGAAGGGACAGAGAGTTTAATCTATGCTGATGATCGTGCCATTACTGCTCAAGCAGGGAGCTTTGAGATGGTAGAACAGAAGCTTTCCGAAGCTCTAGGTGCTCTTACTGCCTATTACAGGGAAAACCAGCTGATCCCCAACCCATCTAAAACACAGACATGTGCCTTTCATCTCAAGAACAGAGAAGCATCCCGAGCTCTGAGGATCACCTGGGAAGGAATCCCACTGGAGCATTGCAGCGCACCCAAATACCTGGGAGTCACTCTGGACCGTGCTCTTACCTACAAGAAGCACTGCCTGAATATCAAGCAAAAAGTGGACGCTAGAAACAATATCATACGAAAGCTGACTGGCACAACCTGGGGATCACAACCAGATACAGTGAAGACATCTGCCCTTGCGCTGTGCTACTCTGCTGCTGAGTATGCATGCCCAGTGTGGAACACATCTCACCATACTAAAACAGTGGATGTGGCTCTTAATGAGACATGTCGCATTATCACAGGGTGTCTGCGCCCTACACCACTGGAGAAATTACACTGCTTAGTCGGTATTGCACCACCTGACATCCGCCAGGAAGTAGCAGCCAATAGTGAAAGGACCAAGGCAGAGACATCTCCAGCTCATCCCCTGTTTGGGTATCGGCCAGCACGTCAACGACTTACATCTAGAAATAGTTTTCTAAGATCTACAGAGACACTCGCTGGAACACCTCAGCAAGCGAGAGTCCAAAAGTGGCAGGCTCAAACCCAGAACCTCAACCAATGGCTGATACCAAATGAGAGGCTCCCCCCAGGGCACACAGAGGACTGGGCGACTTGGAAGGCGCTGAACAGACTGCGCTCTGGCACCACGAGATGCCGAGCCAACCTTTAGAAATGGGGCTACAAAGTGGAATCCTCGACATGCGAGTGTGGAGAAGAGCAAACCACTGACCACCTGCTGCAATGCACCTGAGCCCTGCCACATGCACAATGGAGGACCTTCTTGCAGCAACACCAGAAGCACTCCAAGTGGCCAGATACTGGTCAAAGGACATTTAATCAACTACCAAACTCACAAATTTTGTATTTTGCCTGTTTGTTTGCTTTGTTCTGTTAGAAATGTAATATAATTTGACTGGTTGTCCTGACACGACAAACAAAAATAAATGCTTTGAACTCCAGTGGAGCTGCTGCAACAGAAGAGCTGTATGCTCCCTGTAGCCAGTCCCATTTAGCAATCTGGCTGCTGCTCTTTGGATCAACAGAAGTTTCTGAGTAACTTTTCAAAGGTAGCCCCATGTAGGGCATATTACATAGCCCAACTGGGATGTAACCAAAGTATGCAATCCCTTACGTCCATGTTTCTCAACCTGGGGGTCGGGACCCCTGGGGGGTCACAAGGGAATTTCAGAGGGGTCACCAAAGACCATCAGAAAACATATATTTCTGATGGTCTTTGGAATCCCTTTAGCAGAGAAGGTTGAAGATCTCTGCACCTGTCTTCCCACCAAAAGTGCTCCTCTGCTGTGATTGGCTGGTTTCTCGGCCAAGGGGTGGACTGTTTCTGAGACTCCAAATGGGAGAGAGGAGAGCAGCCATGCTTGGTCCATGGCAGCATGGTGCACACTTGCAGGCAAGGGAGAGCATGTGAGGCTGGATGGAGGCCTGCACCAGTGAGTCCCTTCAAGACATGGTGTTCTGTGTGGGAAGTTTGGCCCAATTCTATTCTTGGGGGGGTTCAGAATGCTCTTTGATTGTAGGTGAACTATAAACCCCAGCAACTGTAACTCCCAAATGGCAAGGTCTATTTTCCCCAGACTCCACCAGTGTTCACATCTGGGCATACTGAGTATTCGTTTGGTCCAGATCCATCATTGTTTGAGTCCACAGTGCTCTCTGGATGTAGGTGAACTACAACTCCCAAACTCAAGGTCGTTCCCACCAAACCCTTCCAGTATTTTCTGTTGGTCATGGGAGTTCTGTGTGCCCAGTTTGGTTCAGTTCCATCATTGGTGTTCAGAATGCTCTTTGATTATAGGTTATTCGTATATCCCAGCAATTACAACTCCCAACTGCAGCAGTATTCAAATTTGGGCATATCTGATATTTGCGCCAAATTCAGTCCAGTGAATGAAAATGCATCCTGCATACCTGATATTTACATTACGATTCATGACAGTAGCAAAATTACAGTTATGAAGTAACGAAAATAATTTTATGGTTGGGGGTCATCACAATATGAGGAACTGTGTTAAGGGGCCGCGGCATTAGGAAGGTTGAGAAACACTGCCTTATGTCAACTTGGTGAACTCTCTTCCGTCAGCTGGGTATCTCATATGCTCCAATATTTCAAAGATGAAGCTTGGAACATGTGCTTCAAGTGATTTCAAGACAGCAAAAGTTATGAATGAGGAGAGGCTACAGCAGTTTGCTTTTGCCCCAGCCAACTGGGAAAGTGAAAAAACAGCAGGACAACAAAGGATCCATTGGGACGGTCCCTGCCAAAGTTGGTTCATATGGCACCCAGAAAAGGCAAGTAACATGAATGCATACTCACAGGCATCCTGGAGCAATGGGCACAAGTTCTGATGCCATGCAATCCTGAGACGCCATCCTACACAAGTCTCTGTGAAAGGCTAGGAATGTTGATCGAAAAGCAAACTAAATAGTATCCATTTCCCAACCTGTTGATAAAAGATACAGTTCAAGTTGCTTTGGTAAAAATTGTAACAAGGGCAGAAACTTTTTCTTTGCACAAGAAGTGACACTGTATCGACTCAGGCAACAAGTTCCTCCAGCTTGGTATTCCAAATGTATTTGATTTGGATTGTTTCCATCGATGACAAAAAGGGAAATAAAACAGCAGAGGGGGCATCTACACTGTCAAATGAAACATCACTTTTTCTGCCTTGGCTGGATGAGCTGGAATCCTGGGATTTGTAGTTTCACAAAGTCTTTTGGCTTGTTTGTCAAGGTGCCTCACCAAATTACAAATCTCTCAATTCCATCGCATTGAGAACATGCCGCATTATCACGGGGTGTCTGCGCCCTACACCACTGGAGAAATTACACTGTCTAGCCGGTATTGCACCACCTGACATCCGCCGGGAAGTAGCAGCCAATAGTGCAAGGACCAAGGCAGAGACATCTCCAGCCCATCCCTTGTTTGGGTATCAGCCAGCACGTTAAACTTAAATCAAGAAATAGTTTTCTAAGATCTACAGAGACACTCGCTGGAACACCCCAGCAAGTGAGAGTCATCAAACCCAGAACCTCAGAGCCAACCTTAAGAAATGGGGCTACAAAGTGGAATCCATGACATGCGAGTGTGGAGAAGAGCAAACTACAGACCACCTGCTTCAATGCACCCTGAGCCCTGCCACATGCACAATGGGGGATCTTCTTGCAGCACACCAGAGGCACTCCAAGTGGCCAGATACTGGTCAAAGGACATCTAATCAACTACCAAGCTTGTAAATTCTGTGTTTTGTAATACACATGTCTGGTTGCTGATGACATGATAAATAAATATCGCATTGAGACATGATAGTTTGTGTTAAACTGCATTCATTCTACAGTGTAGATGTAGATGCACCCATAAAAGGAGACACATACAAATTAATAAATATCAAGACAAGACAAAAAAATGACCTCCAAACCGCTCTTCAGCAGTTATCTAAGTATCTATACCTTTCTCATCTATCACAATAATTCATTCCTCTTTAGGATGATTTTCTACTTCCAATGGCTAGACTGGAGAAAGTGTGCCCCACTACTGAGGCTGAGAGAGTGTGAGACTCACCCTCAGTCCCCCAGTGGGTTTCTATGGCACAGCAGCGATTTGAACGCTGGTCTCCAGAGCTATATTCCAGGTCTCAAAGCCGTATGCTGTGTTGTCTCTTGAAATCCAAACTGACTCCCTCCCAAATATAGAGAGTGCCACCTTTGGTTTGCCAAGGCCTGGAGGGCTCCATAACTGAGGTGATGCCCAACTTTTGCCATGCCTTTCTGGCCAGCAAATCAAACCTGTTTGAGGTGCCAAGCGATTCTCTATGTCACCCTTGTTTCAAGGGTGAGCTTGCTAATCTGGGAGCCCTTCCTTGGGGGCCTTCAAGAGACAAAGCTTATAATGCCCTTTGTGCTCTGATTTAGGCTCTTCCAGGGACTCTGAAACATCCATGAAGTCCACAAAATGACCCTGGCACCCCAAAAGTGGGGAATGCAACTGCTCTGGCCCATGTTTGAGATTCCTCCTTGGCTGTTGGCACCTATAGCCCATCTAAAGGCCAAGACTGTTTGCAAGTGAAACAAAAATGGCCCTCTGGTTTGGACCATGTCTCTTTTGGCCTTAAAGGGACCACAGACATTCCTGCACTCAGTGGGCATCACTAAGGTTGGTGCCACTTGCTGCAGTAAGGCCCGGTGCCATCCCCTGACCCTCTGACAGTGAAGCATTATGCAATATTAAAGCAAAAGGAGCCCCAATTTGGACAAATACAGACTGGGGGGGGGGGACAGCAGTCCCTGAAAAGACAAAAAACGGGTTATTTGGAGCTTCCTTACAATGGGGTAATAGGGAGAACTCAGTGCAGACGGTTCAAAAAGGACACTTCAAGTTTGGGCCTTTGTATGTATGAAGGACTTTGAGCATTGGACAATGACTCTAGAATGCAGGGCTCTAATCCTTGCCACAATAGTCACCGGGAGACCTCAAATCACACTTTCTCGGCCTCAGGAGGTGCCAGTCCATCCAAGAAAAATAATAATAATAATATTAATAACCATTTTGTATTTATTACCCACCTCTCCTAATGGGGCGCAATATAGTTTAGTTCAATTACATCCCCAAAAGCACCTATTGAAACATGTGCTTCTTAAAAACACATAAAAGTTAAAACATGATAAACAATAAATATTTTAAACAAATACGAAGAGCTGACTGGATAGGCATGAGTGCAGGTTGCAAATGAAAAATTGACCAAAAACAAGTTCCTGTAAGAATATCTATCTTACTATGGCCCCTTCCACACATTATGTGCTTTGAACTGGGTTATATGGCAATGTGGACTCAGATAACCCAGTTCAAAACAGATATTGTGGATTATCTGCCTTGACAAGAGAAGGCTGAGGGCCATGTATCAAAATGTGAGGGGAAGGCATAGGGAGGACCAGGCTTGTTTTCTGCTACCCTGGAGACTAGGACGCAATGGAGCAATGGCTTCAAACTACAGGAAAGAAAGGAGATTCCACCTGAACATGAGAAAGAACTTCCTAACTATAAGGAGAGCCATTCAGCAGCGGAACTCTCTCTCTGCCCAGGAGTGTGATGGAGGCTCTTTCTTTGGAGGCTTTGAAACAGAGGCTAGATGGCCATCTGTCAGGGGTGCTTTGAATGTGATTTTCCTGCTTCTTGGCAGAAAAGGGTTGGTTAACAAGGTCTCTTCCAACTTTAGGATTCTTAGTTCTGTGTGGAAGGCCCCTCAGGGCCCATTTTCAAAGGGAAAAAATGGTCAATACCCTGAGAGGAAAGTGGGTCCCAAATCCAGCAAATAGAATTTCTTTGTATTTTATTTCTTGCTCCCCCCCCCCCCTCAGCATCACTCGAGAATGTGTGAAGTCAGTAGCATCCCAATCTATGATACCACTTCGAAGTGATATTTAAGACCCCTTCCACACAGCTGTATAAAACCCAACATTATCTGCTTTGAACTGGATTATATGGCAGTGTGGACTCAGATAACCCAGATCAAAGTAGATATTCTGGATTATCAGCCTTGATATTCTGAGTTATATGACTGTGTGGAAGGATCCAATGTTTAAATGTCTCCAAAGAAGGTGGAAGGATCCAATGTTTAAATGCCTCCAAAGAAGGAGCCTCCACCACACTCCGGTGCAAAGAGTTCCACTGCTGAACAGCTCTCACAGTCAGAAAGTTCTTCCTAATGTTCAGATGGAATCTCCTTTCTTGTAGTTTGAAGCCACTGTTCCGCGTCCTAGTCTCCAGGGCAGAAGAAAACAAGCTTACTCCCTCCTCCATATGACACTATCACATATTTATACATGGCTATCATGTCTCCTCTCAGCCTTCTCTTCTGAAGGCTAAACATGCCCAGCTCTTTAAGCAGTTCCTCATAGGGCTTGTTCTCCAGATCCTTGATAATTTTAGTCGCCCTCCTCTGGACACATTCCAGCTTGTCAACATCTCCCTTCAATTATGGTGCCCAGAATTGGACACAATATTCCAGATGTGGTATAACTAAGGCAGAATAGAGGGGTAGCATGACTTCCCTGGATCTAGACACTATATTATTGATACAGGCCAAAATCCCATTGGCTTTTTTTTGCCGCCGCATCACATTGTTGGTTCATGTTTAACATGTTGTCCACGAGGACTCCAAGATCTTTTTCACACATACTGCTCTCGAGCCAGGCCTCGTCCCCCATTCTGTATCTTTAAATTTCATTTTTTCTGCCAAAGTAGAGTGTCTTGCATTTGTCCCTGTTGAACTTCATTTTGTTCAATGTATTATCAAAGTCTACATAGGGACCACCAAATGCAGCATTGCCCAAACACGAATCAAGGAACATGAAAGGCACTGCAGACTACTTCAACCAGAGAAGTTAGCCATAGCAGAGCACCTGATGAACCAACCTGGACACAACATATTATTTGAGAACACAGAAATGTTGGACCACTCCAACAACAACCACGTCAGACTACACAGAGAAGCCAATGAAATTCACAAGAATGTGGACAATTTCAACAGAAAGGAGGAAACCATGAAAATGAACAAAATCTGGCTACCAGTATTAAAAAACTCTAAAATTAGAACAGCACAACAACAGAGGGGAAACAAACAAGGACATCTAATCACCTCTCAACAAAAGATAGCTCCAGGCACTGCCAGGCAATCAAATGCTAATCAAGATAGTCAGTTGAAACATTCACACCTAGCTCCAACAGAGAGTGCTTTGTCCCACCCTGGTCATTCCACAGACATATAAACCCCTTTTTCCTAGTTCCAACAGACCTCACTACCTCTGAAGATGCTTGCCACAGATGCAGGCGAAATGTCAGGAGAAAATGCCTCTAGAACATGGCCATATAGCCCGAAAAGACCTACAACAACCCAGTTCATTTTGTTCGTTTTGGCCCATCATCTCTCTAATCTGTTAAGATCGTTTGCTTATTTTCTGTTATGAGTTTTATTTTTATTGTTTTGTATTACTTGTTGTTATTGTTTTTATTATTGATGTATTGTGGGCTCAGCCTCATATAAGCCACACCGAGTCCCTTGGGGAGATGGTAGCGGGGTATAAATAAAGTTTATTATTATTATTATTATTATTATTATTATTATCATTATCGTTTTCAATTCTGCTCCTGTCTTCTGGAGTATTGGCTGTCCCTCCCAATTTGGTGTCGTCTGCAAACTTGATCATGCCGTCTCACCCTTCACCTAAGTCATTGAGAAAGATGTTGAACAGGACTCGGCCCAGGACAGAACCCTGCTTATGGCACTCTGCTGGTTTGGGACCAGCCTACCTTCATGACCATATCTTCCTCCATGTACCATCTCGGGCCCTCCGTTCATCTGGGGAGGCCCTTCTTTCGCCCCTGCCAGCTTCACAAGCTTGCCTGGTAAGCACAAGGGAGAGAGCTTTCTCCTCTGTGGCTCCTCGACTTTGGAACTCACTACCTGGAGAAATTAGGAAAGCCCCTACCCTAGAAACCTTTAAAAAGGATCTTAAAACCTGGCTCTTCCGCTGCGCCTTTGTAGCTATACAATCCCACACTACTGCTTAGCCTCAAAGTTCTGTCATTGGAGTTTATATCGTCCCCCCTCTGTGGGAAAGCTTGATTCCTCAACCCCCGCTATAATGAGCTCTCCTCTGCAAATAATCTGTCTCTTTTTATCTCACCCGAGTTTTAAATTAGTTTTAATCAGTCTCTCTTTTAATCATTACATGCAGCCCGTCCATTGTCATTGTGATTGCGTCTATTGTAACTTTATATTGTTATGTATTTACATGCTTTATTTTATTATGATGTTGCTGTTTACTGTTTGCATTTTTGGTTGTGTTTTGGTTTTATTTTTATTGTAATTTGTTGTTCGGGCTTGGCCTCATGTAAGCCGCTCTGAGTCCCCACTGAGGAGATGGTGGAGCGGTATAAATAAAGATAATAAATAAATAAACCTTTATTTATACCCCGCTACCATCTCCCACAGGACTCAGTGCGGCTTACAAGAGGCCGAGCCCAAATACATCATAAAACATAACAACAAACAACAATAAATAACTCATAACAAAGCAAAACAATACAATAATGACACGACACATTTTAAAAACCTGTGGCAGGGCCAAATGTAAGGATTAAAATTTTTAAAATGCTGGGCATGTTCAAGGGAAATAGGATGGATATTTTAGGGATAGGTGGGCATGCAGACAGTTCTAATCTCTCATAAAATGCAGTTAGGGTGTATTGCTTAGGATTCCTTATTCTGGGAAGGCACACTGGAACATCCACGTTTTCAAGCTCCTTCTAAAGACTGCCAACGTTGGGGCCTGCCTGATGTCCTTGGGGAGGGAGTTCCAGAGTTGTGGGGCCACCACCAAGAAGGCCCTGTCCCTCGTTCCCACCAATCGCGCTTGCGAAGCAGGTGGGATCGTGAGCAGGGCTTCTCCAGATGAATGAAGAGATGATGTGGGTTGGTATACAAAATGCGGTCACGCAGGTAGATGGGTCCTAAACCGTTTAGGGCTTTGTAGGTAAGCACTTGCACCTTGAATTGGGCCCGGAAAATGAATGGCAGCCAATGGAGCGCCTTAAACAGGAGGGTTGACCTCTCCCTGTAAGGAGCACCAGTTAACAGCCTGGCCGCCGCCCACTGAACCAACTGGAATTTCCAGGCTGTTTTCAAGGGCAGCCCCACGTAG